GCCGCGTTCCTATCGCCAGGGCCGGCCCCGCTGAGCAGTGCCGGGCGGCGGGCGGCCAATCGGCGGCGGGGAGGCGCGGGCGTCGCTTTGCATAAAGCAATATTTCGTGTGGGAGCATTTGCATGTTGCGGAGTGATTAGTGGGTTTGAAAAGCCAGCCCCGGCGGAGCCGCATTTCCCGCTCTGGGGAAGGCGCAGGGAGGAAGTGTTTTGCTGGAAGATGATGACAGAGGTCAGGCTTTGCTAATGGGCCAGTGAAGAGCAGTGGAGGCGAGGCAGAGACCAAGGCGCAGAGACATTAATACACTTGAACCATCACCAATCAGCATAGGTGTGCTCTGTCTCTCTCTCTCCCCACTTCACTCACACACTCTTTTATCTCTCGCTCTCCAGTCACTGACAGCCCATTTTATTGTCAATCTCTGTCTCCTTCCCAGGAATTCGAGATCACACAACCACCAGCTTCAGTGGAGAAAAACTATTTTGCTGGCAACTCTTTTTAAAGCACCATCATTTCAAATCAGTGCGCTCTTAAAACTGTTGACAGGAGCTTTGACATCAAGACAGGATGCCTCATAAAGGTGAGTCTGCTCATTTCTTCTCTCAACTTTTCCCTCCTCGCATTTTAATATTTAGGCAGGGCTCTCGCTCTCTCCCCTCCTCTCTTTCTCTGTCTCGCTCCTATTCCCATTTGCATTCCGAAGAGCTTCCCAGGGAACTTTCCAGCCCAGGAGCTCACAAACTTTCTGCCTTTCACATGAGCCCATGTCCTCTGGAATAGCTAAAGCATCTGACGCGGAAAGCAATGCCAGCAGCAGTCATTCCCACGCAGCATTCGCTGGGCAGGGAGACAGACCACCAGCGCCGGTGCCTGTGCTGCTGGTGCTGCCGGTGCCTCAGCTCAGAGGGGCTGGCGGCGGGACCCCACGGGGCTCCGGCCCCACGCCACGCCGCCTGAGAAGGAAGGAAGGGAAGTAGGGAAGGAGGGAAGGCGGGTCGCGTTGCCCCGAGGGCGGCCCCGTCCGCGGCTTCTGCTTTGTGTTCCCGCGGCCTCGGTTAGGGAAGGATCCCCCTTGATAGTGTAGGGGAAAGAGGGAGCGAGCGTCCGGGAGAGGTGCGGGGGGGGACGTGGAGGGAAAAAGTATATAAATCACATCCTAGGCCAAGCCAGCTCCCGAGCGCGGTACAGGCGGGGAGCTGAGCCGAGCTGAAGGGCTGTCAGCTCTAATCAGCCACCCGGGGATCTTCCCAACTTGTCCCTAGTGCCGGCAACTTTCCCAGCTCCGGCGTGGGAGAAGCGCCGGGGGCGCGGAGCCCCACGCACTGCCCCGCACCGCCCGTCCCTCACCGCCTGCACCGGGCCCCGGCTAGGGGAAATATATATTTTTGCTTCATTTTTAAAATCGATATACTTTAAAAAGATTTTATTTGCTTTTAAAATCCCCAATCTCGCTTACTCCTGCAAGAAAAAAGCCACGCAGCCGCCTCTTTGATACCTCACTATAGCAAAGCCTTTTTTTTTTTTCTTTTTTTTTTTTTTTCCTTTTTTTAAGAAGTTGAAATTTTAGAAAGTTGCAAACTCTTCGCTGTGGAAAAAAAAATAATTAAAATTAAAGGGATTTACTCCTGGGAAGCACAAAGCAAAAGGGGTTCTTTTTCCCCTCGCAAGTGCAATCGGAAAGAAAAAAGAAAACAAACCAACAAACCGAAACACCAAAACCAATCAGACCCAATCTGGATTTGAATTTAACCTTGTAACGCTTTGCCCGGAGGTGTTACATGGCCGCGCAGAGCAAGAATCATTTCTGGAAAGTTTAAAAACAAACTTTCTCGAATGCTTAAATGTACCTGGCCAGAGGCGGTTTTGGGAAACGACAGCAAGGTCCCGGAGAAGGAAAGTGACTGAGTCTTCTCCATCTCAGGGACATAAAATAATAAAAGTGGCCCTTGCCAATAAATGTTTATAGCTGCTGACCTTTACCAGCGCCTGATCGCAAAACGATTCGGGTTTTATCTTTTTCTCATTCGCCCCGAGAAGGCGAAAATTTGTCATCTTAACGACTAATTACGCCTTCACCGGGAGAGGGGGGGAAATGCTGTCCGCCATCAGGTTATATAATGATTTGGATGTTAGAAACCGACTGGCAACTTAGGCCCTGCCTGTTAGGACAGAGCACATCGCCGGGAGCCGGGTGCGGGTCCCTGCGGGGAGCAGCGGGTCTGGGGCACGGCGATGGGAGAAGGCGACTTCGTGATCGTGTTGCTTCGGTCTGGGGGTCCCCGCGGCTGGTCTGGGGGCGTCAGAGAGTTGCTGAGCAAAGCTGGAGCTCAGTGCCCCACGCCTCCTCTTACCTTGCTGAAGCACTTGGCTCCCCTCGCCCTCTGTTGTAAAGCGCTTTCGGCTGTCTTTGGGGTTTGGTTTGGTTTCATGGCTTCTCCCCCCCCTTTTTTTTTTTCTTTCTTTTTTTTTCCCCTCCCTTTCTTTTAAATCCATTCATTGTCATTTCTGAGGTCTGTGCTGGCAGAGCTGAGGGCTGGAAGTTTCATGGGGGCTTTCTGGATGGCTCCTTTAACCCCCTAAGTCCCACCTTTAGGAGTTGTGCGTGAAATATGTGAGGAAATTGTGTCTGAAGAAGTGGGTTTCCCTTTCGGTGTGTGTCTATGCAGACGTGTTCGGTGTATTAAAGGGATGGCTTCACGTTCAGTTCAGCTGAAGGAGATAGGGCCACGTCTCCATTGAAGTACAGTGTAGCTTGCTCTGCTGCTAATCAGGTAGTTCTCCAAAGAGCAGTAAATATTTACCAGTTAAAGTCTTCATGCTGCGAGAAAGTACTTGTTTGATGTTTATTTTTATGGATTTAAGATTACTAAAAGCTACTTAATAAATTATGCCATGGCTCTTCCTGAATGAGGAAACGTGCCTCTTTGAATCCTCCATCATATGCAGGAAGAGTAAAATTAATATTCATTATAGGCGCAGAAGAAAGAGAATGAGTATTTTTAGGAGAAAAAAAGGGAGAGAAAATGAAGGCTGCGACTATTTCATTATTTTACCTCCCTTTTTTTAGCAACCCCCTTGAATGGGCTCTTTATTGTAATTGTCCCTCCCCAATTGAGCACCCCACTGAGCTGTTGTATCTTTTTACAACCCCTAACAACTCGCACCAGTAACACAATTACCGCCAGATATTTATAACGAGAAACTACTTTTCCATCTTCACCGGCGACGATTTCAAATAAATACATGGGGGAAGCATAAATAAATAAATAAGTGGGGCGGGGGGGGAGGGGGGAAGAGGGAGGGAAGGTGGCGAGAGGAGGATAGAGGGAGCAGGGGAAGCAGGGAGGGAGCGAGGCGGGGGGAATGTGTGTAGAAAAAAGGGCACTGGGGACTATCCAGGAGCTGGGTCAAGGCAGGCACTAATGAAGGGAGAAGGGGCTTGTTTCTCTGCTCTTTGTAAGTTGGAGGGTTGTTGGTCCGTTGAGTTGGGAAGCTGCACGGCCGGTTAAGGAGCCTGGGTTTCTGCACTAGGGGTTTGGGTAGAGAAGCAGAATGGAGGCCATTGTTCGCTTTCTGTAGGCTTTGTTTAACAGTTCTCACCCCCTCCTGTTCTTACTTTTTAAAGCAGTGAGGCGAGGTAGACAGCGTGTGTCACAGTACAGTGAAAAAGGGGAAGATCTAAAGACCAAAAAAGAAGTTAATCACAAGATGGGGAGTTTGGAAGAGAAAAAGTTGCTAGTGCCGCGGGGAAGGGGGGGGGGGTGTGTAGGAATAAATAACTCGAGGAAATACCCGGAGGTGAAAATGGAGCCCCGCTCCCAGCACTCAGAGCAGCCGCCAGAGCCAGCCTTCACCCCCCCCACCCCCCGCACCCTCTGCTCAACCCCCGCGCAGCGCAGCGCCGCGCCGCGCCGCTCCCCCAAGGCACACGCGCACCTTCCCGGCGCCGCTCCCCACTTCTTAATGTACTTCTTCTGCTTTGTCCTAGAGGGAAGACTTTAACTAGTGACCCGCAGATGTGCGAGTCCCTAAATTGTATGAGAGGACAGTCCGCCCCGCTTCCAGGCAAGTTTAAAAACATGACTTGGGACTCTCTTTGTGATTGTTGTCGCCCCACTTCACGCACCACCTCGGCGAAGGGCACTAACGCCGAGGAAACACGCCACCTGCATGCAATTAAAACGAGAAACCACTTGGCGGGTTGCTTTTCCTGATTTTTTTCGAGTATTAGGGATACATATGTACATTTTTGCCTTGAGGCATTAAAGCCCCCAAATCCTTAAACTAATAGGGGGAAGACGCCTCGGGACAACAAAGTAAGCCTGTGAGATACTAGCCTCTCTGCAGCTTAATCGCGGGCACTACCTACCTCCCCTGATTAACGCCTATTTTATCACCAATAGACTGCTATAGGCGAGCCCCGTGGGATACTGCTCTATCAGCCCAACATGCAGAACAGTAAGTGACTCCGCGCCCCTCCGCGGCCGCGGGCAGGTGGCGCGGGGCCGAAGGCTCGCTTCGGGCCGGGGGGGGGGGAGGGGGGCGCTCCGCTGGCGCGGTGGGCCCTGCGCGGCCGAGCGCGTTGCCCACCCCGTCGGGACGCGGGTACAGCCGTGCGCGGAGCGGGCCGGGGGGGCCGTGACAGCCCCCGGGACTGATCCGGCTGGTGGCCCATGCCCTGGCTCGTGTCCTGTCCTCTGCGCTCCTGTGCAGGCTCAGTTCCTGCAATCTTTGTGGATTGTTAATTTTGGGGGCCTTTCGTTGTTGCTGTTGTCGTCGGTGATGTGGTTGAAGATTTCGCCGATGGGCCTATGTGTCTATCGGAGGGGAAAGCGCGGGAGCGCAATGAGTGGAGCCGGGCACAGTGGCTGGGAGAAGAGGCCTTTCGTTGCGCTCCGGCGCAAGCAGCTGCGCGGAGGTCGGGAGGGAAGGACCAGGGGTGAGGCCCCTGCCACCCCCATCTCGGGAAGCGCATCGTCCGCGGGGTACACCGTCGCGATTTTGTGAAGCTGCGCAACCCCGCGGCGCTCATGCGCAGGGGGCGCGCTTATTTTGCGCGTGTAGCGGTGGCTAGGGGTGGACAACCCCTACCCCAGTGCTGGTCCGGGACCTGGCCTGGAATGCGCGGCTCCTGGACACCGTTATCATCCTTCTGTGAAACAGGTTCATAAGTTGTTCCCCGGGTGAGGAGCACCAGGAAAACCACCAGGGTTTGGGGGTTCTCAGGAAACCTCGGGTGGAGCTTTTCTGTTAGAGGTTATTTTTATTTTTCCTCGCGGGGCCTCTGCCTGCCCGTCCGTGCGACGTATTCTCACTTATCCCGAGAAAAAACCCGGCCTCATCGGCCCTGGGAGGGATTACCTGCGCCTCGGTGGGACGGCGGCGGCTGGCCTTGGCGGTGGCGTGCCGAGGGTTTATGGTAATGGGGGGATGCCTTCACTCGGCTGTTTGGGATCGCCACCGCAGAAAGCAGAAAAGATATCATTCGGGTGAAGCCTTTATTTTGTTTAAAGGTCGCGGCGGGCTCTTCAGGCTTTGTGTTAATAACTCCTGGGTGTATATGGTGCAGAGCATCCAAATTGACACCATATGTTTTCCTATTAGATGACTAGCAATAGAATACAAGGCGCATAATCATTGCCACTGGGCGAGATCTACACCGCTCTCCAGGGAAATTATATAATGATTAAGGCTTAACCTTTTAAGTGAAACTTTGATTTTCCTTTCCTCGCTGCCATTTTTTATGGCGGCGAGAATGTGCGGTTGCATGTCCCTCCCATCTTCTGAAATGGGCTCCCCGTACGCGTTTATAGGGGGGAACGAGGGACGGAAGGGGGGCGTGCGGAGGGCCTGTTCTTCCCGGCCGCCCCCCGGCGCCCATCATCCTCCTGGCCGGCGGACTTCAGCCCGCCGCCCCCCGGGGCGCAGGCGGGGAGGGACGCGGAGCTCCTCGCCCCGCGGTGGGAAGCGCAGGTCGCTCTGCTGGGACCGGGCGGCAAATTCTCCAGCCCCGATGTCACTTCGAATCCATTGCGCAGGGAGCGCGCCCCCTCGGTTGTGTCCGCGCAGAGCCCGCGGGTACCGCAAACCTCAGCCTCCCTCGGAGGGAGAGCGAGGAGAGTTCAATCTAGTCTGAGTGATATCCAAATGCGGACAGAAAGGGTCGTTTTATCATGCTACTATTTGTCGTGACGATGCAATTTTCAAAAGCAGAGTACTGTCATAAAGTGACACGCCTGCCACAAGTGCTCCAACTGATCTTTTCAATTAGCCTTCCATGCATGATCCGGGGCGACTTCCGCCTATTTCCAGAAATTAAGCTCAAACTTGACGTGCAGCTAGTTTTATTTTAAAGACAAATGTCAGAGAGGCTCATCATATTTTCCCCCTCTTCTATATTTGGAGCTTATTTATTGCTAAGAAGCCTGGGCTCTTGGAGTCAATTTATCAGGAGGCTCCAAAGAGAGGAGAGCGGAGAGCGCATAGAGCAGAGCTTCTCCAGGGAGACTTCCTCCAAAGCCTGGAGCTTCAGGTTGGGCACTGACGAGGCAGCCTCCCGCTTGGCTTTCGGCGAAGCGAGCTGTGGCTGTGCGGATGCAGGCGGGCGTCCCTGCGCTGAGGGTTGGTGGGGTTCGAGTTTTTGTTTGGTGCGGTTTCTTGGGTTTGGGTATTTTCCCTTTTTTTTTTTTTTTTCCTTCCCCCCCCCTTTTTTTTTTTTTTCTTTTATGGTGGGGAGGCAAAGATAAAAAGCAAAAAAAAGCAAAGGAAGGAGGCAACCCAAGGCGATATATCCAGGAATATTCTGAACTTTGGGGCTGTGTCGGGGGTCCGCCGCCAGCCGGAGCCTCGGGGACTCCGTGGGAGCGTCGGGCGAGGACGGCGCCGGGGTCCGGAGCGGTTGCTCGGGTTGGATCGGAGGGGCGAGGCGGGGAGTGCGCGGGTGCTGCGCGGGAGCTGAGGGTGCTATGGTGGGCGCTATGCTTCCCGCAGGTCACAGCGGCGTGAACCAGCTCGGCGGGGTGTTCGTCAACGGGAGGCCGCTGCCCGACTCCACGCGGCAGAAGATCGTGGAACTCGCTCACAGCGGCGCCCGGCCCTGCGACATCTCCCGGATCCTGCAGGTGAAGGCGGCGGCGCCCCCGCCCTCCCTCCGCGCCGCTCCGCAGCCGCTTTGTCCACCGCTGGCCGCCAAGGCGCTAATTGCCAACCCCCCCACACTCACCCAACCCTCCAGCACCACCCGCCTTCCAGCCTAATAAAACGATCCATCTGCTCGATTGTCGCTGCAAATAGACCTTTCGACGCGTATATGTGTGTGTATATATATATATATATACACACCTTTAACATTATTTATTTTTTAATTTTTTTGTTGCTCCCCTTTATGTCCATCCGGTGATAACCTGCACTCTCGTTACAGTTAGCTCGCTGTAATAAACTGAATTATACGGCTCGGCATAATTTCAGTTTCCTCTCCTTTCCCTTTCTCCCTTCCCCGTTTCTACTTCTGATTTTGTGAGATCTGTATGCATTTGGCGTGGCTTTATTGCTTTTTTGGGTTTACTTTTTTTTTTTCTTCCAAAAAGTGAAAAAAAAAAAAAAAAAAGGAGGTGGGGAAAAAAATGAAAGAGAGGAAAAAAAAAAAGAGGGACCCCCCTCCCCCTCTCCAAGCCACGCTTGTTTAAGGGGTTTAGCCCGGAATCTGTCTGTACAGACACTAAGGCAATCTGGTGCAGCTCAGGGGTGCTTTGTAAATGTAGGTGTCGATAACCCCTCACTCCCCTTGTCCCCCCAGTACTCTGTCTAAGAGCAGTGAGGACGATGGAGACCACTCTGGTTTAGCTATTGCTCGCATTTAAGACGTATTTTAACATTTAACATTAAACATTAAACCAATTACGTTTTGCCCCGACTTTTTTTCCCTTCCAGATGTTTTTAAAGTATCACTTTTGTAGAGGGTAGGGCCACGAATGTTATTTTTTTTTTTTTTAAGAAAAAAAAAAAAGACTCTCTAAGTAAGTTCTCATACCATTTAAGGTATATTTTTGTGTTATAGACCCATGCAGATGCAAAAGTCCAAGTGCTGGACAATCAAAACGTAAGCTTGTCATTGTTTAATGCATACTTAAACAATTTTATTTTTGTCTTGAAATTATTAATAATGTGATTTTCTGTCCGCTTCCCTATCCAGGTGTCGAATGGATGTGTGAGTAAAATTTTGGGCAGGTATTACGAAACTGGCTCCATCAGACCCAGGGCAATCGGAGGTAGTAAACCGAGAGTAGCGACTCCAGAAGTTGTAAGCAAAATAGCGCAGTATAAACGAGAGTGCCCCTCCATCTTTGCGTGGGAGATTCGAGACAGATTACTATCAGAGGGGGTCTGTACCAACGATAATATACCCAGTGTAAGTTCATGAACAAAACCTTCCTGTGTGCCGTGTACAATGCTGGGTAGCCGTAGCGAGCCTCTGCTTCCTTTGTTTTGCTACCAGAGGAGAGGATAGCAGGTTCACATCATTTGCATGTGGCAGGGTCAGAAGCGGGGTTTGTTTTTTTTCATACAGAATCTGACAAATGCCTTTAAGGAGGAGGGAAAAAAAATTAAATATATATATATAAAATATGCGGGTCACCCCTGCGCCTGGCGCCTCAGGACTGCGAGCATCAGTCCAAGCCATCACTCTGGTTTTGCAGGGTTCGGGTTGGGGCTTTTTGTTTTTCTTTCTTCCCCCCCCCCCCTTTTTTTCTTCCTTTTTTCCTCCCCTGTCGTTGGTTGGTTGGTTTGTTTGTTGCACCACCGCCAGCAGTAACAGAGTCGGGGCGGCTGGGACTCAGCGCTCGGGGAGCCCCTGACTTGCGCCCAGGTCGGGCCGCCCGCGGCGAGGAGGGGGCGCGGGGGTTGCGCGCGTGGCTGGCGGGGAGCGCGATACCGCACTACCATCGTCTTTCCTGTCCTTTGCCTTCCAGGTGTCGTCGATAAACAGAGTCCTACGCAACCTGGCTAGCGAAAAGCAACAGATGGGTGCCGACGGGATGTACGACAAGCTAAGGATGCTGAACGGCCAGACGGGGACCTGGGGCACCCGGCCCGGCTGGTACCCCGGCACCTCGGTACCCGGGCAGCCCGCACAAGGTAAGGGACAGCCCGTGGAGGCTCAGCCTCGCACGGCGAATGATGGCCCCGACGCGGATACCCTCCCCGGCAGCCGCCAGTGCCGTTTCCGCAGGGCAGTGGCCGAGAAAGTCCCTCCCGCCACCTGCTCGGGGAGGCGGGCGGCGGGGGCAGGCGGCTTCCAGCCCGGTCCCGGCCCGATGGAGGACTGGGGAGGGCCGGGAGGAGCAGGCGGGGGCCGGGACTCCTGCTCCGAGCCGGGATCCGCAAAGCCGCGGAGATCGGGAACTATCTCCGCTGGGCTGATTATAGTTCCTCCTCAATAGACCCGAAACAACTTTGTAAATATAGGAAACTGTTTATCCTGAAGATTAATAGGTATTTGTTGTAGGAATGACAAGGGGATAATATGAAGGATAATGGGATGTTACGTTACATACTTAAGATGGTTAATAGCTTCTTTTTGAATACGGGCTCTGTTGAGGCTGAGCTCTCTCCCTGGCTGTGGTCATTCCTTTAGAAGAGGTGTCTATATACAACAACCTGCTTTTTGTTTTCACCCCGCAAGGAAAAAAAAAATCAGTAACAGTGTGCGGAATATCTGGTACAAAGGATGTTTCTGTCACACGCAAGAATTTGTTATGGGAACAATTCTGTCGCTATGTAATTGCTCATTAGAGATCGTTTTGTTTCTCATTAAGGCGACATGAATAAGCGTCTAGTTGAAGGAGACAGCTGTAGAAATGTTCCACAGGAGACCTCTGGACACGATATGGCACCGCTTGCCAATTAGACATGTCAGTTTTAAGAGAAGAAAACAATCTATGAAGGACACTAGAAAGATAGAGTGGAACCCTCGCTTCCCCCCATCCCCACTTTGGTGGTTTGATTGTTGTGTTGTTGTGGGGGCTTTTATCTTCAAATGTTGTTTTCCCCCTGTCTTTCTTCGGAGCCGGGCCAGCTCCAACCGCCCGCCTTACCTGCAGAGCCAGGGAATGCCCCTGCCCCTGTGCGAGCATCCTTGTCCCGGCCTTCGTCCGGGCTCCCCTTCCGTCCGTCCTTCCCTTCCTCCCTCCCTGCCTCACACCCCACAGGCACAGCTGCGCTCGGCGGAGGGGAGCGCACTTTCCTCCAGTGCGGCTCCAAACGGCCTGGGAGCCCTCCGTTTATTTAATTTAGATTTATTTTATAAAAGCTTTAAATAGGGACATTGAGGGTCCTCCTCGCCCTAGCGCTGCGCCTGACTCGAGGTGGAGGAGATCGGTGGAGATGCTGGGGGTCTGTGCTGACCCCTTCTCTCAGCGCTGCAATGAGCACAGTTTGCGCGGGGAAGCGCAGACCCCCGGGCAGGAGAGTAGCGGGGAGTGAGGAACGCGGGAGCCCTCTCCCAAATACCGCGGAGGGGTGCGGAGCAGTGCGGGCAGGGCCGGGGACACGCGTGTGCGCGGGTACGAGAGGCGAGGGCAGGCAGGCAGGCAGGCACTTAAACTAGCCGCATGAGGAAATTAAAATTAATAAAATGGATTTCCTCTGGAATATTCATGCTCCCTCTAATGTTTTTTTTCCCTTGCAGGGGTATGTTACTGGATTTTAAGAGTCCATTACTCAAAAAGCGTAAGGCGAGGTTAGGTCTCAGAGGGGTATAAATATGGTCTCAATCTGATAAACGCCATGCAGCAGTGAATAAAATAATGGATACGTGAAGGCTGACAGAACAAAAAGAGACATCTCTATCCGGGAGAAATTCTCCAGTGATTTAGTGGTTTTAGGGATCACCGAGACACTGTTTCTTATCTTTTTTTCTCCCCCTCCCTCTCTTACAAGGCTAAAGCCTTCTATAGGATTTAGACACTTTCTCTTTCAACAGATGCTACAATGTTTTGATCCCGGCTCTATAGCTGAGAGATGCCGCAATTGGTTTGCTATCTTTTTTTGCTTGTTTTCCGCCTCACTGATTAAGACACTAAGAAACTAAGGAATGATTTTATTTCCCAGAGTCTTTTTTTTTTTTTTTTTTTTTTTTTTTTTCCAGGAAACAAATCCTATACCCAGCGTCAGATGGTCTGGCTATAGGATAATAGGGTCGGACATTCACTAGGTTTCTTACGGATTAGGTCTGGAAGGTGGAACAGCCCTATTGAGATCGCGCCTTTTAGGTTTTTTGGTTGTTTTTTTTTTTTTTTCCAAGGAAAAAATAAGAAGGAAGAAGTAAAAAAAAAAAGGGGGGGGCGGGGTTGCTTCTAAAAAGATCTCTTAATTGTCCGTCGGTTCTAAATAATGATAAGTGCGTTTAGGTGGAACTTTGAGCTGGCTCAGAGGTCTTGGGGGAGGTGGAGCTGCAGAAATAAGGTGGCTTCAAAAGTTTCAAAATAAGGAAATAAGGATGTTAGGGGGTGCCCGCTTTGGGCCGGTCTTGGGCACGACGTGCGCGGCCCCGCGGTGCCCGCCGCTCCGCGGCCGAGGCAGGGCGCGCTCCCGAGCCCCAGCGGCCATCCTCGCCGCCTCTGGGCGGCCCCTCGGACAGTGATGGATGAAGGCAGTGGCGGAGGTGAGGCGGCGGCCCCCGGCGCTGGTGCGGCCATCCCCGGGCCGGGGGGCTTTGTGTGCCCCTGAAAGGCAGCACCGACCCCCCCGAACCCCCTCCCTCCCGCTATTCACCGGCCGCTGGCCGCCTCAATGGGGTTGCGGCCGCCCATATGGTGACCACGGCCGCTGAATCCCCGGGTTTAAATGGGGGAAGAAGAGTTCGGGGTTTAAAACATTTCAAAGTGGTTGAAAGGGTCCCACCAGATCCTGTCACAATCCCCTCCCTGAGCTTTGAAGGCCGGGGCCATTGTTCGCCGATTAGAAATGATATTACTTTAAAGCTGATTTCCCACAATATTTAAAGGATGTAGCGGTAGTGGGTTTTTTTTTGTTGTTGTTTTTTTTTTTTTTTTCCTAACTTCTCAAGGGAATTAGCATAAGCAGCCCATGGTCCCTCATCCCATCTCCCTCTTTATGCGACATCAAAACGCCTCGAGAAATACGGTTAGAAAGGAGAGGGAGAGCTCGCTTAGGGACAAGGAGATCTCTGCCTCAACACGGGAACCCGCTTCTTGTCCCAACAGTGAGCTGGGTACCAGCAGAGCCCTGCAAAGCCGGCTGGGCCTTGAGACCGCCCCAAAGGGGAGCACAAGGAACTTTTCCCCCCTGTTTAATGCCAGAAATTACATTAAAAGTGGTGGGAATGCCCTAATTAAAAACGTACCACTTAAATGATATGCCAACGGCTCAGCTGCAGAGCAGTGTATTCAGCTAGTTAGTGAACTCGCTACTATTTCTTTTAAAATTACATGTTAAAATTTTAAAAGAAATCTTACTTTTCTCTGGTGCAACACATTACAAAGAATGGACAGTCCTTTTATCTAAATATAAAATTCCATTTTCAGCAATTATAGCCTGTTCTTGGTGATGATATAATTACAGCTGTGCTCAGTAATAGGTGTCAAGGCAATGCACACTCATACAATAGTTGAATAAAACTGCAGAACAATGCAGGCACTTCTAAATTCACAACCTTTAAAATGAAATTGACTGTGCAGAATTCAAATAAAAACTGGATAAATATTTTTTAAAAAAGATTACAAGCTTGGTTTGGTTTCTTAATAGCATTTTCTGCAAACCTATCAACATCTAATTGATTAGATAGGAATTACTGATTATAGATAATCTGAAATACTGAACATCGCTATTTTAAATATAGCAATAGGTAAATAAATGCAGCAGACGGAGGAGACTGCCATGGCACTTCAACAGCAATTCATGGGAAGAATCACTTTCAGGGGAAAGTATTTTTATGCATGTTTTATCCCAGAGGGAAAATAAAATGAAATGAAGACCAGGTGATCGCAATTCCTCATCGCCGATGTTTACAATAATGCTGGAAACCAAAATGTTTTCATGTTTCCCGTGTCATTAGTGCAATGTGGTTTTGATACCTCAGACATTTATAAAGGAGGGTGTCAGCAAACGTGGCCAAACTTGTTTTCAATCGCGTTATTTCTCTGATAAGGATCTCAAAACAAGCCTACCTACGTTTCACTTTTTGACTCTTGGTTCTGCAGATGGCTGTCCGCAACAGGAAGGGGGAGGGGAAAACACTAACTCCATCAGTTCTAATGGAGAAGATTCAGATGAGGCCCAAATGAGACTCCAGCTGAAAAGGAAGCTGCAGAGAAATAGGACATCCTTTACCCAAGAGCAAATTGAAGCCCTTGAGAAAGGTGAGTGACATTTTCCTGTGGCTGAAGTGAGAGGAAAGCAAAATGTACCCTGGCTATATTAAGGGCTGAACAGAAGAATTGCATTCATGTGCCTTATATATGTATATATATTTTAAGTCCATGGCTCCCTCCATCCACTTTTATTCACTGAGCTCCAAACATTCATCTATGGCTGCAACATGCACTGAAAACCTGTTAAAATGTTTTCAAAGTGACCATTCTCAGGGGACAGACCATACCCAAACATCAGCGTTACACCCTGGGTTTCTCTCACAGGGACAAATCTCCTCCTGCCGACTGTGCTGTGTCCCTGTCCATGCCGCACTGCTGTACACTGGAAAGGCAAGGGCAGGGAGCTGGAGCTGGCAGCAGCCCTCTGTGCCTGCCCCCACACTTGCTGCCCATCCCCAGCGCTGCTGCTGCCTGGGGCTGGGAGCAGGTGCCCTTTTCCCTGACCAGCCTGAGTGCACCTCGCCTCTGACCCACTGTGGATCTTTGTCCCGATTTCCTGCTGGTTTTTAGCGATGTGCCATTTTGCTTCTCAGTGACAGGGTCAGAGCTGCCTTGGGGACCCCCTTAGCAGAAGCAGAAGCCCTCACTGCTTCTTGAAGGATACAGCATTGCACCCAAGTCTGCCCATCCCCTTAGTGGTATTCCCCAGCAGGCAAGGGAAGGTTTCCTCCTTCCTAACACACAGGAGAAAGCTTAGCTTTGCCTTCACAGCAATGTTTCTTAGGAGCATTTAGAACACAAGCAGTGGAGGAATGACTCTAACCGTGTAGTGGGTCACGTTAACTCTTTGCAACTAATGCAGCAATATTTTCTTTGCAGAATTTGAGAGGACCCACTACCCCGATGTATTTGCAAGAGAGAGACTAGCTGCTAAAATAGACCTGCCTGAAGCAAGGATACAGGTACTGAGCTGCTGTGCAATTATGCCTATTCCTATTTTTTACTTTTACTATTCTATCTTTGTTATTCCTGGCTTCTCAAAGCACAGGGCAGCCCCTGTTTCTGACCAGGTATTTGCCCATCTACCCCTTCAAGAAAATAACAGCAGCTGGGGTTTGCTTTTGTGTGCTGCTTTGCCACACTGCAGCTTCTATGAGCATGGCCGTGAGCTATGTGAGGGAGGCCCCATGCCTCTAGTCCTTGTCAAGTTGCTCATGTCTCTCAAACGCTGTCTTTCCAGGTGTGGTTTTCTAACAGAAGGGCCAAGTGGAGAAGGGAAGAGAAGCTGAGGAACCAGCGAAGACAAGCCAGCAACACTCCCAGCCACATTCCCATCAGTAGTAGTTTCAGCACAAGTGTTTACCAGCCCATCCCTCAACCAACCACCCCCGGTAATGTCACCAACTTGCTCACATTCATTCATCCTCTTGTGAAAATGAGACTCTGAGACTGTATTGCTGATTGTAACTGTGGTTAAACTAATGTGTTCATCTATCTGTCTATTCTATTATAGTTTCCTCTTTCACATCAGGTTCCATGTTGGGCAGAACAGACACGGCACTCACAAACACGTACAGCGCGCTGCCGCCCATGCCTAGCTTCACCATGGCCAACAACCTGCCTATGCAAGTAAGTCTGGTGCAAGTGCCATGGCACAATGCTCCCTTGGGACTCAGCAGCCCTGGGGCGTGTGGGAATGCAGGGGATTATAAACCCAGACCATGTTGCAGGGAAACTGGCACCATAGGCTTCCCTTGCATCTGAAAGGATGCCCTATTTGGGAAAATCACAAGGGAAAGGGCACTGTAAGACCTCGTGCTCAACAAGCACTTCCCTGAATTTGGAAAGAGTCGGGTCCTCAAATTTACAATGAAACAGATCTGTGATGGAAAAGCCCTTTTTCGACCCCTTGTACTCCCATTGCCCTTCCGTTAACTTATGGAACTCACTGGTGCAGTACTGTGGAAACCGTTGCCTGAATGAGGTGCTGGAGGGATCTGACCTTCTCAGTGTAGGTAATGTTGCAGCGGCACATGAGGAACACCTGAGAGAGGGAAGGATGTGATTAGCATCAGTGGTTATGCCAGCTAAGCCAGAATTGCAGGAGCTGTCAATCCTCATGCCTGAAAGCATTAGCTGATCACCAGCTGGGTTAGGAAGAAATCTATTCCTTTGGGGTCTGTTTCTATAGACCTTTCAGATGCAAAATTCCTCCTTTTTTAATGGTGGGGTTGGCCTAGGAAGGTGCTGGCCAATTACGGGAGTTTTCCAGCTTTGTCTGAGGCACACAGCATTGACCATTGCTAGAGGCAGGCGAGCAGATTAGAGAGCCTGACTCCTTCGCTGCGGCAATTACTATGTTACTAATTGCTGAACCAAAATTAACCAAATAAAGTTAGAGTCTTGCAAGTCCGTGGAAAGAGATGACGTTGGCGAAGTCGCTATTCCATGATGTAGGAGGCCAGCAGTGCTGATCCCGGCAGTGGGCTGAGAGCACATGACAAAAGATCAGAAGGCTGATTAGGGGAGGGGGCCCTTGGGAAAGCAGGAGGACCCCAGTTCACCGCTGGGCACCTGGGCAGGCACCTGGCACTTGCGAGCCACTCTGGAAAGTCTTGTCTATGTGGCCACCATGGTGTGATGGCCACATGATGCTGGAGCGGGAGATTTGGCAGCCGAACTGTCGGCATCTCCCAGAGGATGCACAGCGCGTTGTGCTTAGCAAGAGAGGCTGTCGGCATTTTTGGAGATGGCGTGTGTCAGGGATGCGCAGACGGAGGAAATATGTGCAGACGTGTTGAGTCTCGTGCGATTGGACTGTGGGAATTACTCATCCTGCTTCCCGCTCCCCCTTGCTGCCTTCTCATATTGGGGATGCACTAGTACCCACTCCGTTGGTACCCCAGAGTGGGAGATCCCCCTGCTTGGTCCCTCGCTGACACTGTGCCATCCCTCACCCCCTGCACCCAGCTGCTGTCCTGCTGGCAGGGGGATTGGAGTTTAGATAAATCTATATGTCTCATCTCCTGGGATGCTGCTGGCATGGGTTTGGGGTGACTGAGGCTCTGAAAAGGGATCAACACACCCCAAACCCACACACTGTCTGTGTGCATGTGCAACACACTTGCAGATGCAAGATGAACCTGCATGCCTCAGTAGAGTAATTTCTAGTTATTACACCCCTAATAGTTTTTAGTTACACCACAAATGAAAGGTAAGACACCAGCCCTGTCTCTGGCTGTGAAAGGCATGAGTACAAACGGGTCTGCAGAAGTACAAATGAGGGCAGCGTTCAGGCTTTGGCTCCTCGGCTTAGGTGTGTAACACCTTTGTTAACATCTAGATGTAGGGATTTGCTTGCCAGGCATGTCTGAATAGGTGCTGGTGACTGTCCACATTGTTGCTGAAGATCGAAACCCTCTGGGAAGAGGCTGCTTGGCTGAGCTCCTAAATAGGGCTTTACATCTAGGTCCTTGAGTTTGAAACTGAAGCTCCTTTCACAGCTGCCACATGCTGATTCTGAGGGCTGGCACATCCGTCTAGAAGCATAATGCCATGTTTGCCTTGGGTGATACTGAAGGCTATTTTGTCCTTTGCTTCCGTAGCCCCCGGTACCCAGCCAGACCTCTTCCTACTCTTGCATGCTTCCCACCAGTCCATCGGTGAATGGCCGGAGCTACGATACGTACACCCCTCCTCACATGCAGACACACATGAACAGCCAGCCGATGGGCACCTCTGGCACCACTTCCACAGGTGAGTGAGGGTTTTTCCATTCGCTGGGAGAAGTCTCTCCCCATTGCTGGGAGAGCTCTCTCTCTGGGGTTCAGCGGCTGCTGACCTGGGCAGAGGGTAACAACGTATAACCTTGCAGGCTAGAGCAGGAAGCCTGACTTTTAACTGCTGCCAGAGGGGTAAATGAAAGACAGCTGATTAACAGGGCTGGTGATTGAAGAGCGGAGTGGAGGCCCCCATCCTGCAAAATCTTCCCTGCATACTTAATTTCTAATGCAGCCATTAATTTCTGAATTTCACCGTTAGATTTCAGCAGAGATCCTCCCACCCAGGAAGTTAAGTGTATGGGAGTGTTTGTACTGTGTCTGCATCAAAGTGTATGGGAGTGTTTGTACTGTGTCTGCATCAAAGTCTATTTTCTTGCTAAAGATTTGAAGTATTGAAAAGGCAGGTAACCTGCAGAAATATTAACCTGTGCAGAGGAAGGCAAACCAGGGTATAATGGGTAAGTATCAGCATAAGCAGGAGCAAGCCAGACGCATTTGGAGAGAAAATAAATGTGTTCAGTGTGTTTTGGGCTGAATTCCCAACTGATGCAAACAAGCAGAGGCTCCGGAATTTATCTCAAAGCATGACAGTTTGTTTATAACAACAGATGAGTAAGATGTACATAGGTTTTTAAAATATATATCACCCTCCCCCCTGATTCTGCAGGCTGGTAAATAGCCAGATTTAATATGTACCAGAATACAAGCACAGATCTGTGAAATTCAAAGCAAAAATTGTGATATGTATAGAAAAACTAAAATGCCCTTTTCCCCCCTCATTTTTCAGGTCTCATTTCCCCTGGAGTGTCAGTTCCAGTTCAAGTTCCTGGTAGTGAACCTGACATGTCTCAATACTGGCCAAGATTACAGTAAAACATGTGTTAATTCCGTAAATGACTATATGGACAACAGTTGGATGTTCAGCAGTATTTTATAAAGGAAGAATGGCTCTCAGAGTACTTCTGTACTGCAACTGTGCCCTACGCTGTAACACACGGAAAAGACTTTCACATGGACCTTTGTACACTGGAGGCATTATATCAGTTGGAACAAATCTTCATTTTGGTATCCAAACTTTTATTCATTTTGGTGTATTATTTGTAAATGGGCATTTGTATGTTATAATGAAAAAAAAAAACAAAAAAAGAACAATGTAGACTGGATGGATGTTTGATCTGTGTTGGTCATGAAGTTGTTTAAAAAAAAAAAAGAAAAGGAAAAAAAAAAAGAAGCCATGATCAACAAGCTTTGCCACGAATTTAAGAGTTTTATCAAGATATATCGAATACTTCTACCAATCTGTTCATAGATTATGGATTGATGTTCCAAGTTCGTATCATTCCATTGCATATAATTAAACCTGGAACAATACGCACTAGATTTATGTAAGAAAAATATCTGTTGGTATTTCCAAAGGTTGTTAACGGATGAAGCTATGTGCAAACAGGGGTTAAGAGAGAGCTTCAATGAAGAAAAGAGTTTGATAGATAAAAGGTAGATTGTGTCTTCGATATAATCCAATTTGTTTTATGTCGAAATGTAAGTATTTGTCTTCCCTAGAAATCTCCCAGAATGATTTCTATAATAAAGTTAATTTCATTTATATTTGACAAGAATATTCTATAGATGTTTTATACACATTTTCATGCATCATACGTTTCTTTTTTGGTCGGCAAGAGTTAATTGTTCTTAGAATAGTTGTACTACTGTTCACAGTCCAATCATTTTTGTGCATCTAGAATTCATTCCTAATCAATTAAAAGTGCTTGCAAGAGTTTTAAACTTAAGTGTTTTGAAGTTGTTCACAACTACATATCAAAATTAACCATTGTTGATTGTAAAAACCATGCCAAAGCCTTTGTATTTCCTTTATTATACTATTTTCTTTTTAACCTTATAGTGTGGTGTTGCAAATTTTGTTACTGTGTTAGGTTAATCTCATTAAGTTTTATTTTGAATTTATTTTCAGTTTTCAGTAAGGAGGGAAGCGTTTTATAGACTTTCAGCTCTCCCACCAGCCTGTAATTTGGGCTAACAAAAAGAAGATAGGTTCACATATCTAATTGCAGCTGAGAGCAGGAGGAGGTTGTTTATTTAGCTTGGGTTTCTGGGGATGCGCTAAATAAACTCCAGAATCCAGCCGAATTTCCAGTGGGGAGTTTGCATCATGCCAGCCAGTGGTGGAGACACAATGCATGCCTGTGTCTGGCTGTTGTAATTCTACAGAAAGTATGTATAGATGCATATAGACCCAAATATACATTCCTGACTTCTAAAAATTGTTTTTGTTAAGATGCTTAGAAAGAAAAAAACACCCCAAACCCAGCTGTGTTTTTAACAGGCTCTTTGGGAGAGTGAATACCATCCCTTTATATTGCCACACAGCACAATCTTAGTGTAATTTTCCATTGAACTTGTAACCTGGTTAATACCTCAATGCGCTTTGTGTGAGGGTTGTTAGTGTGGGCGTGGGTGGAGAGTTGCATGTCAAGGAATAATGAGAGAAGACAAATCAACAGGCAACAACAATGCGAGCTGGGACTGGCTAGTGAAAGCTAAAGGCCTTTAGTCACTGGCAGGGAAATCTAAACATTCCCATATCTATGAAGCTGGCTCATTGTGCTGCAGTTGTTACTTGCGATGCTGTGCTGAAAAAGGGATCTCATGATTAAAAAGCCAATGTGCCAGGAGTTTTGAGTCAAAGCACAGGCATCACAAGCAGCCTTTGTGAAGCAAAGATACTATCTAGGCTGGTTATGTTTTCCTTTCGGCATATTTGTTGCTGCAGATAACGCTTTGCTGTAAACTTGGAGTAGCAGAGTTGTGGTGCTGAGGTAGTTGAAATGCTGCAGACAAGATTAAATGCACGTAAACCCGAATCGTTTAGGGACAAAGAGCAGCTTTGCTCAAAGCACGAGGTGATAGTTAACAAAATCAAGAGCCCAAAGCAAGCAAAAATGTGCAAAAATATTAAACCACTTCTTCTTAATTGATACTGGTCAAGTTGTAAGCATATCCATTATATCAGCATTAATTAGTTTTAATTATCTGAAAGCCCTCCATTGGCAAATATTAATGAAATGTGGGCAAGGTTTAATTTTTATTTTTATATATTTTTATCAGACATGAGCATGCACATTATATATTTATAAGATACAGCTAGATCACATTAACACTACAATAGGCAGGTCCCTTCTCGCATAGCTAAATTGATCCTGGGAACAATTAATTACAGGTACAAACCCAGCATTTATATAGCCACTTAGCGTGTTTATACCTGCTAATGTAGTTTGTTATCTAAATGCCAACTTCTTCTCAACCAGGAATGGAAATGAGCTTCCCATCCCATCCTCCCCTCAGAGATTTTGTGCTGTGGTGCTGTTTCTGCAGGTGCCTATGGGCAGGCAGAAGCAGCTCTTCCTTTCCCTTCCCTGGTTTTCCCTGCCTTGCAGCTCCACCACCTGCGGTCCAGCCACTGGTGGCCCTCATCGAGCCATCGCCAGCCCTGGATGCCCTTTCTGAAGCCTTCTTCAGGGCAGGCTGTGCTGTGGGGCTGCAGCCTTTCACAGTCCTGTGCCTCTGCAGCCGCAGCAATGATGTGGAGCAGTTGCATGCGCGGATGAACCCTGAGCTTATTTCGGTGACAGGCTATAGATGGCTGTGGTGGAGAGAAGATGTTTCTGGCTCACTGGCTCGCTGTTGTGCCCTATGGAAGGAGGTCGGCTGGGAAGAGTCCCTGGCTGGCTGCACATCGGGAAGAAGTTAGGGCATTTGGTCCCCAGACCGCTGCTTGCCTTGAAGAGCTGCTGCCGGGGGCTTGGTGGGTTACAGGCGGCCTTGCTCTGCACATCATGCCCACAGCCCTGTCAAGAGCCTTTTCCCCAGGGTGGGCTGAGGCATGGGGCTGAGCACCAGTGCCAGCCCCTGGGTGCTCCACAGGGGCCAGGCAAGGTCCCAGAGCAGCTTCAGCGCTGGACGTGCCGCCTTACCAGACACCACTACCTGCTGCTTCAGTGGGAAATTGAAAACCTCAGCGTGCTCTGAAGTGCCTCTAATATCCATTTTCATCCCTTTCTTCTTCTAGATCTGTATTTCTTAAGAAGACTGAAATTAGTGTAATGCGTTGCTCAGTGTACCACAGCAATTTCCAAGGGTCTCCTCTTTGTACCACTGAAATTAGTGGGAGTTTTGCTATTGATTTCAATAGGAATGAGACATTTCTGTGCGTTTGGTTAAAATGTATTTCATAATAACACCTTATACTTTATTTATAAGCCCCTCCTAAAGCATGTCACAAATTATAGTCACACAAGAATTGATGTGTGAGCGCTGTCTTAATAACACTGTATTTTGTGTTTCAAATATTGTGTTCTAGATACAATATTTACAAGTGAAAAGGCTGCTAACCTAACAGTTATTGTTCAGAGCAGACAGATGATGAGCCATACATGCCGATGGTGAAGCAGACATGCATGCAGCAACATACGTGTTGGAACTGCCCCGTGTTTTGTGGATACTGGTTTTAATGGTTTTTAAAAGGTAAGCACGAGTCAGTGTGTGCCCTGCTCCAGGAGGCAGAAAGAGCTGCTTTCCCACCCAGGCTGTCATACAGAAAGTGGATTTAATAACTACTTTTTTTAAGCAAGGTTTTTATAAAGGGAGCAAAATGCCCCCATAGGGTGCTTTACTTTAGGCAGCCTAACATAGGATTTATCTTTGGGGGAATGATTACAGCTGTAAAGTACAACCTGGGACTGATAACACACATCTCTTCCTCGATGGTTTCAAGCCATTGGTAGTCCTATTTAATTCACTTCCCATGGCCAAAGGTGTCTGGATTTCTTTTTCTCTTTTTCTTTTTCTCTCTTTCTTTTTCTCTCTCTCTTTCTTCCTTCCTTCCTTCCTTCCTTCCTTCCTTCTTTTTTTAAAAAGCAAAAAAAAAAAAAAAAAAAAAAGAAAGAAAGAAAGAAAGAAAGAAAGAAAGAAAAAAAAAAAAAAAAAAAAAAAAAAAAAAAAAAAAGAAAGAAAAAGAAAAGGAAAGAAAAGAAAAAAGAAAGAAAGAGAAAGAAAGAGAAAGAAGAAAAGAGAGAGAAAAAAGAAAAGGAAAGAAAAAAAAAAAAAAGAAAAGAAAAAGAAAGAAAGAAAGAAGCTAAAACATATCATTTTTTTTTTCTTTTTTCCCCAGTTCATTTCCATTTGCTCTTGTCCTCAGCTTCAGTAGCTGAGCATCGTGCCACATGCATCTGATACGGCTCTTCTGCTCTGGGAATGGTGTAGTAGCATCTTATTTTTTTAATAGCTCTTCTTTGACAAGACACCTGCTTGCTTAATGAGCTCCGGCAGCCCCGTTTCTAATCAAAAGTGTGATTGGCACCTACAAACACCCAAATGCAATATCTCCCCCCCATTATAAATAGGCATACGAATTACAGACAGGAGAGTAGATATGATGGTTGTTTGGTTTTGTTCAGACAGTGAGTATTTATGTGTCTTGCTGTGGAGAGAAGGCAGCTGTGGCAGCAAGTCTTGGGCTGAAGTGAGCAGGGACCTCTGAGGCCCAAATGTTCCTGCTCTTTGAGGGGGAAAATAAAGCATGGGATATAGCTCCTTTTGGATTACTGCTGGAGAATGATGTTAGGCAAGTCTCTCACGTTATTCACACAAATGTATGACCCTCTGGGCTATGCACTGAATGAGTTCTTTACCCATCTATGTTATTGGTTTAGTAGTTCTTAGAGAAAACAGCAGAGGATGGAGCAACCTGAACAAGATGCATGGGGGTAAAGATAGTACCATTTGGAAAGGAGCCAGATTGGCAAGTTCCTTGCTTTAGAATGCATTTTAAGTTAATTCCTCCCCTAATATTCTCTTAGACGTAAAGAAAGAAAACCCCAGTGTATCAGCAGTTAGGTTAGCTTTCTTAAGATAGGTTACTCTCTGTGTTTTCACAGGGGCTTGAGGAAATGAAACTTGGAAGGAATGAAACCAGTTGATCAGTCTTTTAACACACTCAACATGTGTGACAGATTTTCATGCAACCTCCAGCTGCCAGAATCCCTGTTGTTTCTTTTGAAGGTGGCCCTTGAGAAAAAGGTCCCCATGAAACCTGCTTTCCCTTAAGTTTCATGGTGAACCTCTGATGACTTTTAACACAGTGAGAATTTCAGTGCCTTCTATACTGTTCCTTTCCTCCCTCTAGGATAATATCCCACTAGGATATCCCCGGTGAGACCATCATGATCTTGAATGAGGTGAAGGTGAAAACACATGTCTGATGGTGGTGGGCTTTGCCCCACAAAGGACCATGCTACTGTTTTTGCTGGGCTTGTAGAGGTCCATGGTTTCTCAGGTGCTGCAGCCCGACCTCCCAGGTTGAGTTGCAGCTGGGTCAGATGGTGAGCAGAGGTTTTGTGAGTGACCCAGGAGGATCCTTGTTACCTTCAGGTGACTGACAGGATCAGTAAGTTGCATGAAATCCTCCAGCAGAGGTTGAAATTGCCTCCAGGCACCTGACAGACCTCACGTACACTCCAGCAGCTAAAATCGGTGAGGGCTGCGAATTGTAGCTCTTCCTCTCCTGGGACATACGAGCTTTTCCAGCTGCGCCAGAGGAGTTTGCAGATTCACAGATAACCTCCTTCAGGTCAGGCCTATGCTGCTGGATTCTGAGAAATTTATGAACAGTTATTCCATAGAAATTACATATAGGTCACCAGAAGGACTCTGATTTATATGGAACTGCACAAAGCGGATAAAGACCTTCAGGTTGTTACAATAAGTATGTTAACTTACCACAAAGAAAATTCATAATTCTTACTGCTACTGTTTGTTTTACCCTTTACATTTCTCCTTACAAAGTTGGACTCATATTCAGAGCCTGTAGTCTGCAGCTTTGTGTTCCAAATACTGCAGGGGAGGGTTTATTTATTTTTAAAACTCCTTCTGTCAGACTGGATTATATAAAAATCCAGTCATTTAAATTTTATAATTCTTTTTTTTTTTTTTTTGCTTTTAAAGAAGCAACTTGTCCACTTTGATTTCTCTGAATTTAAATTAACGCTGTTACTTTGAAAAATATGCATCCAAACCCATCTATTCTTATTTAAACTAAGGTTCAGTTGGGTCTGATGATTTTCTGAGTTATGATTCAGTTGATCTGCATGAACTGCTGTTGATTTACACCTGTTTGGGCTAGGACATATTTAAGACTTCATAGAGCCTTCTATAGGCAAGGACTGCAAAATGAACCCCTGTATGTATTCTTTTAATGAAATCAAGCAAATAGTTCCTACCTACCATACCGCTTGTGTTTCCAAACTCTTTCCCAGTATTTTGGCGTGATAGAGTATGATTTGCTTGTCTGAAGCTGGCATATTGATGGTGTAGGTTTGAAGCTACATCTATGACTCTTTGCTAGTTGGGAAGAACCACCCAGTGTTGAGATGACTCCTGGGAAGGCTCTCTCCCACACAGATGGACTTGTTACTCCAGTTATCTCCAAGACTGCGCTATCAAAATCCTTCTGGTTCAAGTAATTTCCCAAAACCATTGAGCTATCCTGAGCTATCTGTAGACTGGGAAGTACCATAAATGGAAATTTCACCATGTTGGAGAATTCTTCCAAATGCTCCTTATGCCCATCACTCTCTATCTGGTCTTGACTGAGTTCAGCTTTATTCATTAGTTTAGCTTTAAGTCTAGCCCCATGAAATTTCAGCAAGAGCTTTCCTTGGTGCATTTGCTCCAACCTGACTGAAAGAAAAGCACCTGAAAGTGCACCAAAATTTACTTGTTTCAAGACTTTGAAGAGAATACCCCAGTGCCGTAAGTGCTGAGAGCATTCTGAAGGCACAAACATTCAGACCCAAACTCTGCCAGCAGAGAGTAAAGACCTTCTTTTTGATTCCTGCTACATTTTGGATTTAAGATTTACAGGCAGTGCCAGAAGACACTGAAATACATTTTTAAATAGAGAAATATGCAGCTACAAACTGTCTAGGCCTGCTAACATGTTAAAAAAGACTCACTGGACCTAATCCTACCAGCTTGTTCTTGGACTACCACTGACATCTCTGGAAGAATTTTTAGATTAAGATTTACAGCACCAGAGAAACCAAAAGATGTCTTGATGTCTTCATTTTGATATGAACAGAAGGTCTGTAAATTAGTTCGATGTGCCTAGTAACTTTCAAAACCATTTAAAGGTGGAGTTTAAATCATCAGTCAAGTTTTCAGCAGATGCTCCAGGATGGCTGCTACTCAACACGTCTGAAAAATCTAACTGCTGAAATACAGATTTTGCTTTTGGAAAGCAAACCAAACCAGCCTAACATTTGCTTATATTAGACTAGAAACTGAAACAACAACAAAAATCGTGGTGGAATTTGATTGCTTTCTTTTTTTTTTTTTTTTTCCCTCTATTTGAGCTGTCTTTTTTCCTAAGATGAAGAGGGTTCATTTTCATTCTTTTTTCTACACAGGTACATTTATTATTGAATAAGCAGCATCATGTGCTCAGAGCGTGATTAAAAAAAGAAATGTAGGCCTTGCACTCAGGTAGCTCACAAGAGAAAATAAAAAGCCCAAGAGAACTCAAGGAGGGTAGTACATGCTTCCACTACCTCTTAAAGGCATAAAAGCATCTTCTTTCCTATTTCTGTTGTGCTGTGTGGTTATGGATGACATTTCTCCAGAACAGGCAAAAGAATAACACTTTATTAAATTTCTAATATCTGATCCTGGAGAAATAGGTGTTTAAATGAGTGTGTGTGTAATTCTTGTAATGTATATATTTTTTTAAACAGTGCGTTACAACCTTGTGGGTTCAGAAAAACTTCATGAATAGCTCACTTTCCAATACTGGCACAGTAAAGGATTTTTGTAAGTTAGACTTTTGTACTTTTCCAAAAGCTGTCTTTGGAGCAACATCGCTATTTTACATTAGATTTACAGTGCGTACTACCATGCATATCAAATCTGAAGTGGCTGAATGCCCATTTTCAAATGCTTGTAGCTGCCATTACAGAAAATTGAATTCAGCTGCATCTTGAAATTGCTTCTGAAATCTCTTTACAAACAGTGAAGAAGACTTAATCCATCATAATATTATTCATGTTCCCAATACTTATATTTTGAAAACCTCAACACAACAGAAATTATATAAAGAGTTCCTATTTGACATATTAAAGACACAATGTTTTAAATTTCATTAACTGCTTTCTTGACTGTGTGTCACAATTCTGAGAAGATCAGGTTCTTGTGCTGAATTGGGAATGTCTTCACCGGGATGAATCTATTGTTTCCTTGCTGAGTTTGGCGGTTTCAGTTTGTAGCCTGCTAAAAAGCAGGAAGCTCTGCTTAAAAAATACAACAAACAGAAAAGCCTCATACCTCAATCTTTGCAGAAAAGAGCCCTCTGAGCAGGTGTTAAGAATCACATGGATTTTCCACACAAGCCAACAAGGGGGCTGTGAAAATGCAAAAAGAAGCTGGTAGCACATTGCAACTGCCTGTCAAGAGAGGCTGCAGCCCTTAGTTAAGTGTTTCTTTTCAAACCAAGAGAAGAAGGAACTGAAGGATGTTTTATACCAGGAACTTGACAGTCACAGAGTGGTTATGGTGAAAAACCACAGAAAATCACCATGTAAATGCTTTTCCTGTTTCCCAAGTCAAAATTGCTTTTGGTGCAATGCATAAAATCTACACTTTATCTACTACATAGCTACATACTGTCAGGCAGCATGTACATGCCATTATTTCACTTACCAGTTTGCTGTATTAACCAAGCCACTGTCATGTGTTGTTGTAACTGATGCGGTATTTTGGAAGCAAAGAAGAGAATTTTTGCTCCATGTTTTTGCCTTAGGTAAAGAACAATGCACATCTGTATACTCTAACACTTACTTTATGAAGCATGTTTAGCTACTTAGAAAAAAAATATTCAAGATTTGAAGAAGAAATTCCTTTTATTATACAAAATATTTGTCAGCTTTGATATTAAACTACCAAAGTTTTTGAAATTGAACTTATAAATGTATAGGACACACATATACACATTTACATAGATGGAATATATATGTTACTTGGAAAGAATTTTCAGTTAATTTGTTAACTAGAATCTGACTGTGACTTTCATGATATCTCCCCTGTATGTGAAGTTAATGACCTATTTAAGTATATTTGTAGCATTTTGTATGTCCTGTGACTATATTTCACAAAGACATACTCTGTTTTGTGTTATTTACATTAGAAAGACGTACTATGCAAAACTTCTCCTTTGTTAAAAATCACTTTATCCTACGTATTTAAATTATTTCATGCTTTCAAAAGGCACAATTAAGTAGCTAATGAAAACTTCCATTCAATGTTACACATAACACAAAAAGAGAAAAAATGTTTGAGACATCAATGATAATATTTTAAATACACTGGCATTGGAAAGTAGATGTCTTTCTGCTTTATCAAACTGACAGTTCTGTTCTGAAACTTTATTTTGAAAAGACTTAAAAAGGATTTGTGTCTTTAGAAATAAAAAATATAACAGGCATATCTAAAAAATATAGAAGAGAAAACCTGATTGTTACTACTAATGAAATAGCTGATGACAAAATAGTAGTCTTTTTGATTTTGATCACAAAAAATAAACTGGTAGTGACAGGATATGATGGATAGATTTGACATCCTGGCAAATCACTGTCATTGATTCAATTATTCTAATTCAGAATAAAAGCTGTATACAGTATGTGTTTATGCTACAGTGGAGTTTTTTAAGTGATTGACATTCATCATATTAGTTAGACAGTTTTAAAAGCTATGTCTTTGTTTTATACAGCGTTGTCAAGAAAAAAATAAAGGAGAACCTGGACTGCAGGAGAAAAAAAGCAAACCACTTAACCAGCTCTTGGTTCCAAACCCATTGAAATAAGTTACCATTATTGCATCCTATTAACATGTTCCTTGAAGAGTCAATTTCACTCCAGCCATGTAATACACTATTATAAAGACTAAATTTTGAAACTGTAATGCAATCTTACAGCTGGGTGGCTTGGAACTTCTGCAGAGAAGAAGTTATTACCTTTCAAAATGTAAGTCAGCCTCAGAAGAAAGAATGCAAACCACTTTAATTTACAGGTCAGCTTCACTTTCCCATTCTTTTATTTGATGAGATACATGCAGAGATACATACAAAATAGTTGGAAGTTCACAAATTGTGTATCTAAGGGTACAGAAGCTGAATTAGTTGTATATTCTGCCCTGCTTTAGACCAGCATGCTGCGATACCCTTCCCCGAGCTCAAACACACTCTTCTGGTTTTCTAGCATTAATGTAGCTGTCAGTTTGAATTTCAATCTTGAATTACGTCTGTTGACATAATTTCATACTGCTGACTTCAATTGTTTAGGATTACTGTTTTGAACTACAGAAGGAAATAATTTATTTTCTCTATGGCTAGTAAATCCCATTCAAGTGCATTTTAACGAATGTAGCAAGCCATAAGGCAAAATAATGATCTATAATATACTGCTGATTAAAACCCCCACCGTTCTTAATTACTGATGAATTAGAATAAAAACTATCTATCTTACATATTTTAAATTGATCTTACATATTTAATAAACTAATGTAAATATTTCCTTACATTAAAGAATGGTATTTCAACTACAAAAATGTTTTAAAACCATAACTGTGTAGTTTGCTTTTGGAATAACACATGACAATGCACTGCTTCATTTCATTTCTTTATTTCAATGAATCGTCCAACTTATTATTCATACAAAAAATGGCATGAAAGTATATAAAAATTCCATTGGAAAAATCAGCCTTTTTTTTTAAACTGTAAAAATGACCCCATCTAAAAATGAAATGGTAAGAGTAATTTTTTTATTTTAAGGAAAGGAACAAAATAATGAATGTTTACAGTCAAGCAGAACAATGGCAGGAACCAACATAACAGAAGTAAAATCCAAACAAGCCCAAAATTAGGACAAAAAACCCAACAAAACAGAACAAAAAGAAAAAAAATAGGTGGCACCATATGATCACATGTATTTTTAAAGACTGCTGGGTCAAATCATTAAGAAAAATATTTATATAAGTCATTAACACTCATAATTAGTGTGTCATACAAATCTGAGTGAAACTGCTAAGGAGAAATCACTAGAAGTCCAGGTGCTTCTTGCCGATGGCCATAGCACCACATCCTGAGCTCAGCAGTTTGGCGGATCCTGCCAGCTCCTGTTTGCTTGTGCGGCTCACTGTGTCTGACAAGTCTGGAGGCAAATGCAGTCGCTGTGGCAGGAGATTTTCAGGAGGGAGACAGGGAGAGAGAGAACATAAAGACAGAGAGGAAAAAAAAAGAATAATTGCAGAATTTATTTTCCATAGCATATTTCAGAATGCAGTCTTTTTCCTGACTGATCAACACATATAAAACATTCCCTAGACACTCTTTTAGGCTGAGCTGGGAACAGTTTTGCATGTTTTATATATATTGGGCTCTGTAAATTGGAATAGATTTTTTTCTCATGAAAATCTAAACAATATCCAAATGTGCTCTAAGTATTTAATTATATCTCTGGGCATTTTTCCTTTAAAAACAAGTGTTTTGCCTGTATGTCAGCCCCTACGTCAAATCCTTTGATTTCTATGGCATTACAATATAAGTATAGTTTTGTTTCAAACATGTATACTTTGTGGTAGAGTCTAAAAATAAATGATGTCATAGTCAGAAGATGGAGAGGGCTCACCCTGGTTGCAGCATTATTCTGCTAAATGCTTCATGTTCTACTTATAGTTGCTGATAAAACCAAGCAGTGATGGTAGTTGTATCTGTATAGGGCAATCATACATGCTGATCAAACCTTGCCATCCCTTGTGAGTTGTAAGAACATTATATCCAGTTTACAGATGAGGAAACTGAGACACAGGCTACATGGTTGTCCACAAGCACACAGTCCTTGCATAAGGAACCTCATTTTTCAGCTATGACAAAAATATTGCAACTCTCCCTCTGAGGTTCTTTTACACTGGAGATAGATACACAAAAGACACGACATTACCATTTAGCTGTGGTAAAGTAAGGTGAAAATGAATGTAAACCCGAGGCTTTATTTGGCTTTCTTTTGGACACAGTGAAGTACCGAAAGCTTGTGAGATGAAACAGCTGAGCATCTCCTACCCAGTGCAATAATTTATGAATCTGGTATCATGGAATGAGCATATTTCTTGAAAGATTTAGTAGGTAAAGGCTAAACTGTGTGGCTCTTCCTTTAGAATGCACATACTTCTGAAGAGAACAGGATAACAGCAATGGCTGTGTGGGCTATCTGCATTCTCTGCTTTTACTATGGTTTTGCTTTTACCACAATGCATAAATATAGCTGCCTTTATTCAACACCTTTGCAACATTTGTAGGATTAAGAATGTAATTAAAATATTTATTTATATTAAATATTTATATAAGAAAAATCTGTATTTACAGATGTTCAATTCATTGCTAGCTCTGGGATTGCAATGAGCTGTAAACTTGAGAGGTGCTCCAAAGTGCCTCCTACCCCAAGCCGCTCCTGGCTGTGGGCAGGGGAGGGAGAAGAATGTGTGCTGGGGGGGTTATCTATCTCCAGTATGGGAAGGGAATGTATAACGTAACACATGTGGAGTAGGAAAGCCTGTGCCCAGGGTGAGATTACAGTCCTCTGCACTGAAATAGGACAAATGTGTGTATTTACTTGTAACACTTTGCCTGTGAAGCACAGTATGTATCAAAACTCCATCCCCTGTATATATAATTTAGTAACTATGTAGCTCACATGTCACTGTATTAAAATCAGTGATGTGTATGGCATCCTTCACTTACAATTCCTTCCTTATTCCGAAAAAGACTAAGCATGGCTGTGGATGTGAACTGTGCTCCATGATGCCGCATTTCTACATCAACACAACATAAACCAGGGCATGTGCCTATCATCTTGTTTGTCTGCTGAGACAAACATTTGGGAGGAAAGAGCCAGCATGCAACTTGGACTGTATGAGGGAGGCTGTGACCACCAGAAAACAAAGGACGAGAGAAAGCCGGGAAGTGCAGGGGAGCACTTGGCACATCTTTCAGTCACATTCTCTTTCCAAAAACGTGTACAGTACTCTGCCAGCAGGGTACAGGGTATCTGGTATGTGGGAAGTGGAGAGACAAGAGAACTAATCCAACCTTCTCCCACACACTGTTAGCATCTCTCTTCTCCCACTGGGAGCAGGAGAGTTCGCTTGCTTTCGGGAAAATGCAGTCCCACTGTCTTCCGCCTGCAATTAGTGACCCTCTTGCCAAGTCTGCCAAATGAATT